CACCGATGGGTCTCAGGTCATTTGAATTAGCGTACGTAACGTTCCGTTGCGTGTAAATTTCAAATATGACGTTTTCGGCAGTCAGCCGATGTTTTGAAGTTTTTGTTTTGTCAGTTAAAGTTGAAAAAGAAGTTACAAGAGTTAGTTTTCCGATTGCCGTACAGAGTCAGTGTGTACGTATTTAGTTACAAGGTATAGAAGAGTACGTCAATTTTAAAGTTTGCATTTGGGCTATCATTTCAACAATGCTAAAATAATAAAATTCTGTGAAAGGTGTTTTGTTTTCGTCATTTATTGCATGAGTACAGGCGGTTTCAGACCAAAAAAACTGGGATTATTACAACATAGTAGTAAGTATTATTCAGACTTATTTTTTCTGTATTCAATTGAAATGATTCACAAGACGCTGTCAGCCTGCAGATTATTTGGTCGTTTTGTGAAAATGGTTACTTTATTTTTGTATGTCTGTGTGATTATAATGTGTGTGGTATAATGACTTCTATGCGATATCAGAACATTTGTGTCAATTTGAATTCCAGTAAAAGTAAAGAAAATCCAGATAAAGTTTGTTTTTATTCGTCAATGAAAATAGGTATCTCTTGTGTCGAGTTAATCGTTGGTCAACATTTAATAGTAATGTTTCATTTGAATTATGGATTTAACTATTCTGTTGGTGTAGGATGCTATTTTTTTTATTTTCCAGCTTTCTCTGTAGCAGAGGATTATTATTTCAGTTTACCCTTCGCATTTCGATCTATACGGCAAACAATCGTACGAATGTCAGATTTTTCATTTGAAGGATTTTTTTCTTCAGTGGTGGCGGTTTGTTTTTGTGTGGGAAATATTTGACAGCATTTCGTGAAATAAGACGTATCATCATTTAATACAAAAGATGCGGTGTTTTAGTCTCGATATAAAAATACAAGATAAGAGCCCTTTACATATATTAAAAATACCTGTTAAATTACATATAGAAACTTGGGGCCGAATGTACAAAAGTTAATCAAAGCTTAACGGAGCTGTTAACTCATTTGTTTCGATACAAAAAATGACATTTGCCTTGATTAAATTAGTTAATTTAACGGAACTGTTAAACCCCGATTAAGCTAAAATCCGTATGCACAAAAAAGAATAAATTAGCATTAAGGGCGCCGTCAAGCAGCCTCTGATCACGGCAAAATTTAACCGGTGCTCGTCGACTGATTACACTGACAGTTCGTTCATTTTCGCTTTGAGCTTGGGAAAAGTAATTTTTATAGAATAATAATTAGGCCTATATTCTAATAGTTTTTAACATCATCTTATTTAAATAGAAAATATATTCATTTCTTTAATTGACTAGCGTAAACGCGTTTTCTAAAATTCTTCTCCATGAGGAGAGTGTAGTATTCCAGTCGAGCATTCTTCCACTTTTGAAGGTGGTAGTTTTTTTAAATTGCTGCAAACTGACCTCTTATTTTGGATTTGGGGTCTCCGTTTTGGAGCAATTATTCCACGTTTTGGAGTACATTGACAGTCAGGTGTGGAAGAAAATGAAAAGCATAGGTATTGTGAGCCACTTCAAGAGGATTGCTGGGGCGAAAGGTTCCAATAGCAAATCTTTAAAACAATGCTTTTATTATGCAATTTCAAACTTTGATTTGTAACATAATAAGAGGCTTTACCATAACACTCATTATCGATTTCACCTTGTGCCGGTGATGGTGCTCTCGATTCCTCCTCCAGTTTTCTTTCTCCCTACCTTGGAAATAAGAGGTTAGGTTACTTTTTTACACTGTTTGGCAAGTAAAGCTTTTTCTGGAAACTTTTCTATATCTTGTTGCGCCATTTCTTCTTTAATTGCCTACTGCTTACTGGTTTTTTAGTGCTTCGGAAATGAAATCTTCTGTGACGAACTCCCATGGACTTGATGTTTCACAATGCGGAAGTATATGAGAGCTCGTCACTCTGGATTCTATGTAGTTTATGTTCCTTACTATAAATTTGAAAAAAATGAGTATGCGGAACTGATATAAGACTAAAGGCATGCAGCATCGAGAGGTGTAAAGGTGAGAAACTTTATCAGGAAGCAGTGCTTAATTTATATTTTAGCTACTGTAATAAATTATTCTAGCAGTTAAAGATATATGTTGGAATAAGCTCCACCTTCAATAAAATAAGGCACTCAATGGAAGTTTAACCGGAACTTTTATTGAACGAACTCAGGATAGTCAATGCTTAATCACCTTGATTAGTTAATCAAGGAGTTTTTTTGTTTTGTGCATACCAATCTAATTTAATCAAAGATTTAATTTAATCATACTGATTAACATACGGCCTTATTATTTATTGTTTGTATGGTACATTCGGCCCTTGGTCAATTAGAACGGTACTATTTTATTAATAGCTATTAAGCATTAAGATTGAAAGAGTGTGGAGAATTTAACTCCTCTAATAACGATAAACGCAGGAGTAACTCTGGAGCACGTTCTCCCCCGGAAAAAATTTACGAATTATGTTGTTGACTTGTTAGAATGTTTACGTATTTGAAATGATCCATCTTCTGCATCATTATAGTTCAATTTTCTTCACTTTAAAGTAACAAACAAATATAGTGTGTGAGCAATCAAGCACGTACGTCGCAAACTTAGTAAAGGCGTCAGTGTCATAAAAGGTTACATGAAATTACTACTCGCCTTATGAAGATTGACAGTAATATATCATCATCATTCCGATGGCGAAACCGAATGTCGTATCAAAATTTCACAAACATAATAAGCATTCCACCTTGGTAACTGCTCCATGGACCTAACGGATAGAAACTGTCTTTCTATGTGCGTAATGTCTTTTAATCGCATTTGCTACTTTCGCAAAAATTCAAACAAATTGAATTGAAGTATTTTTTCGACGTTTTAAAAATGAAACAGAAAATTACCTACTAGTTATGTGCCCTTAAAAGGCAAATTAAAAATATTACGAAGTGAACTCGTTTCACCTACTAAAAGAAGTTTCGTCACCTCACTTTGAAGTTTTGCGTTTACAAAAAGCATCAAATTGATTGGGTAGTTTTTTGTCAAACAAATTTCATTTTTATCACTAATTCTTTAATTAAGTAGGTTAAGTTCATTTTTATCCTGTTTTTTATCCTATGTTTTTGATCAGGTATATTTTGTGGATAATAATGCGTACGGTGGTGGACCATGACGTATAAAATTCTCTAAAATCCAGCTAACATAAACAGTAAACACTCGCCTACACACTGTGTCCAAGATAAGGAAGTCAGGGGGACCTTAGAAACCATAGAAGATACGACGATGGTAAAATTAGAAAGAAGTTGCGCAATTAAAGGATTCCTATGATGTTAAAAAGAAAACCTCAAAAATCTGATTACTTTCGAAGATATCCCAGAAAAACCGAAATTTGCCGATTTTGTTATTGTTTTGTTTTTTGTTTTTACAATAAAGTTAAAAACACTTTCCTATTGTCACTTATTGAGCTTTACAAGAGAAAGTTTCAATACAACGTTTCGTTTCGAAGAAATCATCATCAAGTTTATTTTTATATGGTCGCAAAAAAGTACCTACATACTGTATTGAGTAGCATTGTTTCATACGAATACAAAACGATTGATGATGATTTTCATAAAAAACAAAAGAAAAAAACCAGAAAAAATCAACCAACGTCAGCAAGTTTACGATGGGCGCAGCATATACATAGATGAAGAAAAACGTTTTGAATGCTGCCACACTTCAAAGGAGAACAAATGGGGCCAACAAGTGTCAAGACCATGACAACTGCTGCAAAAAATTATTTTCGTGAAAACATTAAGCCCGTGAGAAAAAAGGACCTCCTGTCGATGATTATGTGGCAAGTGCAATGGAAGAGATATACAATTTTGTCAATTACAAAAATGACTGTCAGTATTCCCGGGATGAGGTAATGAACGGAGTAACTGGGGAAAAACCATAGATAAGAACAAAGATAAGCTGAAGGAGACATGTGGTATCGTTTACCTAATAATCACCCAGATGCACTCCCAGCATAAGACTGTGCTTTGCTTTCGGGAAGTGGGTCACACAATTTTGAACGCATCGTGGTATGATTCCAGTTCGATGGGGTAGAACTGAAGAAGAAGAATGCTTGAGAGTTATTCTAACTGCAGCTGCTATAATAAAAAAAGGCGTACAAGGTCAAGCTTCCGACACTAGTCGCTAAATCACCATTTTTTTTTAATGTTTGTCTTCTCGGCTCCATCACTCCGATTAGAACCTTTTGCTACAAGTCACAGTTATTGAGATACAAACGCGAAACTAGAAAAGGGTTTATAAATGACCTCCCTCCCTCGAGCTCACCCCCCACACATAAGGACTTTCACTTATTTCCATACAAATTTAAATAACCTGAAAGAATAAAAAAAAGTAAAGAGGCAACACTGAACTGGAAGTATTTTTTCAAAATTTTCCCATAGTGTTGCATATATCTGTGAACGCAGAGCTGGCGGAACTAATTTTTTTGTGACTTACAGTAAGTACATGCAAAAGAAGTGTCCATATATGTATAAATGAACAGTAATTTGTGGGTTGTCCAAGAATTTAGATGTTGAAGCGTAGGTCGTAATCGTAAATAAGCCGTAATCAAGATCAGCCTAATTGCATAAGATACTATAGTTTTAATAAAAGCGTAGAATTCATGAGAGACGTCATTATGTAGTTTAAAAATCAAGGCAGTAATTTGTTGTTTCCTAATCCCCGCCATTCCACGCATTTTTTTCCATTTTTGGGATAATTCCAAATCGACCGCTTATAAACAAATGGCGATTCTGTACAGCGTAAAGAATGCTTCAATAAAACGTATACGAAAAGCTTTCGCGAAGCTTTATCTAGGTCAAACTCGTGCTTTTATCTAAAGAATGTGCAAGGAGGCCTTGACGGTGACTGCCTTTATTACTTAATGGTTGTTGTGATGATGTAATTCAGGAAATGAAGTCTTACTTTAATTCCTTATTAAAATTTCCAGCTCGTCTTGCTGTTAGAACATATTTGAAAATACTCTGCCACGGCATACCTAGTTCATTTATTACTCCTAGCAATGTGTGTGTTCTAGTCGGTTTCCTTGTATAGAGTGGACTAAAATATAGACAGGATGGAAATTAGATATAGTTCATTAAAAGTTTTTGCGCTATTACAAACTTTTCTGGTTCAACTTATAGCGGCACAAAACGCAACAAGTAAGTATTGCAGTCTACTTCGAAAGTAACTCATACAATTTTAGCGACGACGAATAACTACACAACTTCTAATAATCCTACCGGAACATGCTTCACCGAGGCTTGCATTCAGGCATCGCAGGATGTACAAAGATATATTGATCCCGAAGTAAATCCCTGTAAAGATTTTTACCAGTTTAGTTGTGGTAACTTCATTAAGGGCACGCGCTTAATTCGGGAACCAATAGTCACAATTGAGACACTCATACGGGATGATTTCGACAGTCACATTCAGGATATCGTTCAAGCACCTCGAAGTTGGAACGATTCAAAAACCATAAAAATGGCAAAGTCTCTTTTTAGCACTTGCATGAATCCGAGTGCCGTTGAAAATGGTGTCGATTTTTTAAAGAACTCTCTAAATGAAATTGGAGGATGGGCAGTTCTTGATGGTGAATTGTGGCGAAAGGAGTTTTTTAATTGGAAGCGGGCAGAGTACAACTTGAGGAGGTTGGGTTTCAAGTTCGAACATCTAATTAAACTACGAATTATACCCGACGAAAGGAGACCGAGTAAACGAATAATCCAGGTCAGTAAAGATACCTTTTTGATTGCAGTTCGATGTTAATGTATCGTAGTATGCAAGTCCCGTGAACCCTTTAATTGGTTTGGATCAAGAGGAAGAACATCAATTGTACGAAGATATGGTGAAGGTTGCTGTCACTTTCGGTGCAAAAGAAGGGGTGGCGAGAACCGATTATAAAAGTGTCATTAACTTTTTACATAGTCTTCTACCGGTACCCATCAGCACTTTTTTGGCCTACTCACAGATGAATTTTACAGGAAGAGTCTCATGGTAAAGATTACTTGAATAGGTTCGACGATCTCACCATTTCGGAGCTTCATCACAAATTTCGAGACATTCCCTGGCTCGAATACACTCAGTACGTATTTTTACCAGTTCAAAGCATCAAGTTGGACCAAATAGTTTCTCTAACTGACACACCGTACTTCCTACGACTACAAAAGGTCTTAAGCAAGGTCCCTAAGCGGTAAGTAAAATATGTAACTATGAACGCTACACACAAACCCGTTTTAGGGTGTTAAATAACTATCTCGCGTGGAGAATTATAATGGAATCCAGCAACATTCTCACTCAGGATATCACAGACTTGGGGCAGAATTTTTATAGGGCTACTCATAAAGATAGTCGCCTAACTCGTACAGTGCCGCGCCCCACTTTCTGTTCCGCGCTCGTGGAAACAATGTAAGCCTTCTACCGAGCTGCAGAGATAATAAGCGAACAATTTCAGTTTTTCTTTGCCGATTCATGCGAGTTACATCAGTAGACACGTAACCCAAGCTATTAAGGATGACGTAACGTCAATACTGAAAAGTATCATTGAACAGTTTAAAAGTGAAATTATAGAACTGAAATGGATGGATGATGAGACCAGATCTCTAGCGTTAGAACGGCTGTCAACCATGAAAACTTATGTGGTTTTTCCGGGGAAATTATCGAACTCGAAAAGCGTTGATAACACATACTTTGAGGTAAATAGAAGCGCTACTACTCAAATTGTGCCTGACTACAATTTTTAGTACGATTTACCCGAAGACAATTTGTTAGACGCAGTACTAACTGCAAGTTTTCACGCAACTAACGCTCGATTTAAGGATTTGCACGAGCCGATTGACAAGGAAGTTAAACATGAGCATGGGAAGAAATTTAGCCGATACGCGTATATCTACTACGAGCCCAGTGATAATTCAATAAGTAGACATAAAATAACAGCCCTTAAGCAAACTGTCGTGATCTGTTTTTAGCAATCCCAGCTCGGATACTTCAAAGCGTTCTTTACGACATAGACCGACCACGCTATTACAACTATGGTAATTTAGGGGCTATGATCGGCCACCAACTTTACCACGCCATCTTTGAAAGAACACCAAGCCGTTACGAGTCGAGATATTACCACTGGATGTCCGCCAAGACGCAGTCCGGTTTCCAAAAAAGGCTAGCTTGCGTAGAACGCGATTACGCACAATATCTCGTTCCCGAGACCCAGAAATACGTGAGATTCCTTAAACTATTCGCAATTGTCTTACAGTTTCGTTTCAGTTAAACTCATCTAACAGCATGTACGAAGATATCGCCGATTTGGCGGGTGTTAAGCTGGCATACGACGCTTACAGTAAATGGTTGGAACAGAATGATGTCGAATTAAAATTGCCAAAGCTTAATTACACAAACAAACAATTATTTTGGATGGCGTCTGCGATGAGATTTTGCTTAAAAGCAACGCCGGATGCAATTGAAAATTTAATTGAGTATAAATGCGAATCGCTTATCCGATATAAAGTGTTAGGTGCACCTAGAAACATCGGGAATTTTTTCAAAGATTTTAATTGCCCTTGGTATTTGTTTATTGAGCACAGCAAGTGCAACGTTTTTTAATAACTAACTATATGAATATTTTTTACTCTAGAATAAATGAAATAGTATTATGTGTTTTTGTAACAAATTATTGTTTTAACTTTCAACTGTTTACTTACGACTCATTCGCTTTACTGTTTGATACTAATGTGAAGGGTGGCTAATGCTGCGCCATTATTTTAGTTGCAACAACAAACCAGAAACAATTTCTGGCGCTTCAGTGTCGGAAAAGTACTTCCCTGCTGTAGCGAACCCGATATCATTGAATATCCAACTCCAATGCCGATATGATATACAGGGTGGCCATTTGAAAACGAAACAGAGCCTATTTTGGGGACCTCAAAACATTTACGAAAAAATCCTCGGGCCCGTCAATTTTTGATCCAAGGAGGAACCATTTTTTTGCTAGTTTCACCCACCCTGGGGGCAAAGCCATAGCGGGGGTGACAAGTGCCCCCAACATTTTAAATCGAATGGGGCGACTCACTCGACTAGTGATACCTTATTTTGAAGGTATTTTTATGCATAGAATGGGAAAATTAACATTTGCATACTGCACAATATTGGTAAATTATTCTACTGAGTAAACAAAATTTCAACTACTAAATTTCGAGAAACCTGAAACCCAATATGTTTCCAATTCAAATCGTCAACCATCTTTCAAACAACAAAACAATTGCATTTAATTAATTAATATTAATAATTGACAAATTACGAGATTAATTATAAATTTGAAAAGTAAGAGTTGTAACAACTGTTTGATTACATGACATAGTCTCGACAACGTTCTGGAGGACGGCGAGAAGGTTTTGAAAACGCCAATGTGAAAAGTTGCCGCGAGTTCAAAAAAAATGTCCAATAGAGAAAGAGAGGCCTGGAAAGATTACACTGGGGAACAGTAATTTTGCGGCATGGCAGATCGAAGTCAATTTTGTATCAGACTAGTGTGCTGAATACTGGAAAAATATCAGATTTGTAAAATTGGCTCCAGTTTTTGAGATAAAAACTATTAACTATTTAAATCAAAAATTTTAGTAAAAATACCAATTTGCACTGAAAAAATACTTTTATTAAGTTGATCTTTAGGAATGAAACAAAAACAAATATATCTATGCAGTTCACTGACGAAAGTTAAAAAAAATCACAAAAAACTTTTTCTGTAGGCTTTTCTGCCATGGTTCTGATCAAGACAATCCCTTACTAAGGTCCAGCAGTAGTCTGCCATCATGTGGCGGTCCCATCGACCTTGGTATCTTTCTTCCATGACCCTAATGTCCTAGTGGAACCGTTCTCCTTGTTCCTCGTTTTAATCGCCCACATTATCCGGGAATCTATCTAAATGACAATGCACTTTAATGCTCATATTAGCTCCTAATTTGTTAAAATTTTGAAGCATTTTAGTGACTAGTTTTGCATAGTCTGGAGCTTTATGATTCCCTAAGAAATTTTTGATTACTAAAACAAAGCTTAACCATGCCTCAGATTCAATTTGTGTCATATAGTTCACGAATTCAGTATCTTTTATAAGTGTTCGGATTTGGGGTCCATCGAAGATGCCCGCTTTCAACTTTTACATACTTAGAGCTGGAAATGTTTTACACACATACTTAAAACAGTCACCCGTCTTATCAAGGGCTTTGATGAACTGTTTCATTAGCCCGAGCTTGATGTGAAGTGGTGGAAAAAGGATAATTTTTCGGTTTAGCATTGGTTCATGAATCACATTTGATTTTCCTACCTCCATATTTTCGCGCAAAGGCCAATTCTTTTTACTCCAATGCAAATAAGACGAACTGATAATTTCGGTCTAATAGCTGATCAATGAAATATTTACTACTAAATACATGAATAGATAACCAAACTTAGATGGAAATATTCAAATAAATACAACTTTAGAAGGGTAGTTTAAAATTTTGCATTGATTTATTACGTTTCGTTTATCCCAAGAACCAGAATCAATCCAAAAAAACTAAATGCATATAGTGTATATCAAATACCAGTGTTTATAAAATTCATTAATAAAATTAGTGCCGCAGACATTTTTATTTTTTTTGTTCCCGCTGTGTTATATAATTATAAAAGTGGGCGATGAAATTCTACCAATTAAAGATGATGTGAAAGTTCTTGGGTTAGAAATTGATTCCAAGTTGAGATTTAAATCACTTGTTTCAAATAGGATAAGAAAAGCGTACTCAAATTTAAAATTAATTTTTAATCAACGTTCTATACTTAATCAACAAATGAAAATTTCGTTTTGTAACTCACTTGTCCTGTCACAGTTTGTGTATTGTGCTAATGTGTACGGACCATGTTTGGATACTTATGATTCCAATAGAATCCAAAAAATTCAAAATTCCTGTTTGAGACTAATTTATGGAATAAGAAAGCATCATCATATATCACACAAATTGAAACTCGGTGTTACGTCGTTTTTCAGAAATGAGTTTTTGATTAAGGTTTGAAAGAATTGCGTCCTTGAATGTCTCTTTAGCAATAGATGAACTGGTGATGACGTCAGTACAAATCTAGTTAATGACCTGATCTCAAGGGTTGATTCAGAGTTGATTGTGATGTAGGATAAGTAACTCTAGAGAGGGAGTCAACATGTATGACAATGTTTCAATGTTTTTTGTTGATAATTGAAGACTCTCATAAGCGATTGAAACTGTGCTTGATCCATTTTGAATTGAACCGGAAATATCGATATAGGTAAGTATGTAAATATTGCTTACCCGGACAAGAAAACATCACTTCAACCTCGTCGCCAGTATTGTGTTTTTTTAGGTTCTATACCACTTAACATGACATATCTCTCTATTTAGAAACAGTAGACCAATAGTAAACGGTACATGTACAAAATGCAATTTTAAATTATAGTCCAATCAAATTAGCTCTAAAAGTAGTATAAACTGGATGTTGTCATTTCACCGAACGAAACCAAACGTATTCTATGTAAAAAAATCCGTTGAATCGGAAAATCATAGTCCCCCCGGCCGGAAACGCCCGGAACATATTGTTATAAACAAAAAACGAAGAAAAAATGGGAAAATGTCGTGTTTTTTCACATTTGTCTGCCAATATCTCGTTAACTATTGCCCTGTGGGAAAACATGAATAGAAATGAACTTGTTTAGAATAAAATTTTCTATAAGATACAGTTGTTCCGGAACGCTCATCTTCAACTGTTATTGTTTTTTATGGAAAAATGTAAAAACAGTAATCGCTAAAATTAACACTGTGTTATTACTAAGTAAAATTCATTCGATCTTTTTGAAAATCGGTATTTAGTAACTACTTTTGATAACAAAACAATATAACAAACCAGATCACCGTAGGTTTCATACTCATTGTTTAATTAAATAAACAAGTAGAAAAAGAGATGCTTTGTCTTTCAAACTGGAGGAGTACAAGAGTGTTCTCAATTTTTTTATACATAGTTTAACCCTTAAACAATCTTTTCCAATAATTGTCCCGATGATTCCTGCAAATCGACGGACTGTGCAATTTTTTTTTCAAAATTCGAAGAATAACTCCCGAAATATAACAAATAAATATAACAAATATAACTCTATCATACACGAATGTAAAGCTCTCGGAAAGCCGTACATTAATACGTCCAAATCCGATTAATAGTCGCACCGATCGATTCTTTACAGCGTGAACTGTTTGTCATATTGTTTTGTTATGAAAAGAAGTTACTAAATACGGATTTTTAAAAAGATCGGATGAATTTTACTTAGTAATAACAAAGTGTTAATTTTCGAGATTACTTTTTTACATTTTTCCATAAATAACAATAACAGTTGAAGATGGGCGTTCCGAACCAACTGTATCTTATAGAAAATTTTATTCTAAACAAGTTCATTTCTATTCATTTTTTCCCTCCGAGCAATAGTTAACGAGATATTCGAAGTGAAAAAACACGACATTTTCCCATTTTTTCTTCATTTTTTGTTTATAACAATATGTTCCGGGCGTTTCCGGCCAGGGGGACTATGATTTTCGGATTCAGCGAATTTTTTTACATAGGATGCGCTTGGTGTCGTTGAGTGAAGTGACAACATCCAGCCCAAACCGTAATTTGACTGGACTATTAATAGAACATAATACAGAGTGTACCTTAGGTTTCTTGATTTGCAGAAAGTAGTGGTCGATTCTTTTCAGGAATTTTCAGAAGTAATTTTTTTGAAGTAATTTTAATATTCCAAAAGGAATCGACCCGTTAAAATTATTTGCATGAAACCAATTTTGTATCCATATTTATTGATAAGAATCGAATCCAAACAAGAGATTTTTGGTTATTTTGTTTCATTGATTAGAAATTTGCAATTTTAGTGATACAATTCCTTTGGTTGGATTAAAATTTTGTTTAGCATTCAGAGGTGAGGGAGGATCAAATTATCATTTACACGTTATCACGAGACAAGTATTGCATTTTTTGTATTTATTTTTCTAAGCCAAAGCGATATTTCAAGTCCAAGACTTGAAAAGTAAACCTTGATCGCTTTTGTTTCGACTATATTCAATCAACAAAGTTCACGTGCGTATTCATTTGAGTTCAATCGAACCAGAGAATTAAGATTTTGAATTTCAGATTTTCAGAGGAGATAAAGGGTCAAACTTCCACAAGGTATGGGGTATAAAAACACTTTTATTATACTGAGATGGCCGTGGGTTAAATAAAAGTTAATTGTCATATTAACATTTTTTGCCGGTGCCGTAGAGGTTAATTTTAATTTATGCAAGTGATGTTTTCGACCCTTACACGCGCCCGTTACATCCATTTTGTTTTATGTTGTACCGAGTGGGTCACAAGCTTCGTAATAATTTCAGTCTCTTTTTTCGACATTTTGATGGATTTCGTCAACTGTAAGGCCAGTTTCTTTCCAAAAGTTTTGAGGTTAATTTTAAATTTTCCCACGCGTCTAAGATCTCACATCACCACTTTATTTAATGACCCTTTCTGTTGGTAAATACAGGATAGCTCCTGTTAAATAAGGATCAGTTTTAGTCTCAACTTCATGTAGATTTGCATAATTTATAGTTTAATTAAGATTTCTTAATTTGGCCATGCTA